GCGAGGGGTGCAGTAACATTAGATTTGAGCTTTAGAATCGTTAATCAGGTAGTCAAGTAAATTGATCTGGTAGATTAAACTGGTAGTGACGTGTCATTTTGATTGAAGGAAGTAGACTCTGGTCAGAGAGACTGGGAGAGATTGCCAAGGCTGAGAAAAGAGAAATTAGACACGCAAAAATAGCATATACTGGTCACTTTTCTCCTCACAGATCAGTTTTCTTGGTCAGTATAAAAACTCTTATACCGGGGCGCCTGGGTGGCGCAGTCGGTTAAGCATCCGACTTCAGCCAGTTCACGATCTCGCGGTCCGTGAGTTTGAGCCCCGCGTCGGGCTCTGGGCTGATGGCTCAGAGCCTGGAGCCTGTTTCCGATTCTGTGTCTCCCTCTCTCTCTGCCCCTCCCCCGTTCATGCTCTGTCTCTCTCTGTCCCAAAAATAAATAAACGTTGAAAAAAAAAATTAAAAAAAAAAAAAAAAAAAAAAAAAAAAAAAAAAAAAACCTCTTATACCAACTTAGCAGTGGGTCTGCGGGTCCCAAGATCATTTCCCTTTGTCAATAATTAGAGCATACATTACTTCCCATTTGAACGATTAATTGTAAGACATGTTGTTCCTTTACTTCTCGGCGAGCATCAGCAGACATCCTGTTCCTCTCGCTGAAACAGTTCCATAAAGAAATTTTCCACTATCCATACTTTCTCTTCTGGCACAGTTTTGACAGGTTCTCATAGTACTCCAAGAAGACCTCAGATCTCTACTCTTCTCGTCTTCTTCTTATGTACCTTAAGATGCTTTAAGTGGAACTCTGTTTATTTTCTCACCCTGAGATTCTGTATATAAACTTTACTCATTTTTCTTCGATTTTTATGCAATTCTCACTATTATTTTTCTATCCACACTGCACTTGAATGATCCTGTGCTCTGAGTCTCTGTTCTGTTCCTTCAGGCCTTTACTTTCCTCTTTCCTGAAAGAGCTTCTGTTATTATCACTTTTTAAATATATCATTTTATTTTTATAAAATATTTTGGAATATCAAGGGAGAAATGCATATCTGCTCCCCCTTTTCATGTCAAGATTACTTCCATTTCTTAATATTATAAAAATAATTTATCTCTCTTATAAATCTGAAAAATTATCCCAGATTTTGAAAAATACGTTTGCTATTATCATGACATTGTATTCAAGGAAGGCCTCACCTCCTCTGCAACACACAAATTTTCTTTCTTTCTTGCTCTTCTTCCCGACCAATTCTCTGACTCACTTCCCTCTTTTGTTAAGGTTTTTCAAGCTCTTAGCATGCGGAGCTACGCTGTAAGTACCCTTCAATCACTCTTCTTGTAAATTGATTGTAAACACTTGGCTTCAAATATTATTTTTGGCTACCTTCACTATTACCTTTCTTAAAGCCATCTGAAACCCCCTCTCTACACCACTCATCTCGGATATGAAAAAAAGAGCTCTGCATCCTTAAGTAGTTTTTCTCTTCACACTTTTCTTGTGGAGTATACACTTTCATAAATCTGGCGTTACCCTTCTCAGTTTATATCAATTCCATAATCACATATCTTTCCCCATGCCCCAGATCCCACAGACCTTGCAAACAACTAAACTGCGCGTTAAATATCTGTGTATGTCTCGTTCCTCTCCTGTTGACTACTGTGAAAAGCCCTTCACAAATAATACATTTCCCTGTCTGGCTTCAGTTTGTTTATGGCATCTCAACTGAATAAAATGTTGCTTCTTTCCAAGTCTAGCACAAGCCTCTAGATTCTTTGGTTTGGGTATAAATATTATCGGCTATCAACTGAGTCCTGGCACCATTTTCTTTAATCTCCCCCAACAGCCTTGCATGATAGACATCAATAATCTTGGTTTACAAATGGGTGTTTTCAGCACACACAAGTTCACTCAGAAGAAAGGGGATGAGCAGAGTTGGAAAGCAATGCACAGAACTGGAATTAGTGGGTTAAAGAGGGTAGAGAATTTGCTCAAGCTCACTCTGCAGGCGATGTCAGAACCGGTGTTAAACCCAGTTCTATCAGAACCAGCTTTGACAGTATGAGCCTGCAGGGCTTAGTCGAGAATCAGACTAGGGTGAATAAAAACTTTCTGCAAGACAAGTCAGTTTCAGGCCACCTGAAAACTCTGCTTTGATAATGGCATCAAAGGAACTGGAATCTACTATTGCTGAAATATTTGAAGTTAAGGAGAAACTAGCGTCTTTGTGGATTGGTTTATTTCCCTTGAAATGTGGGGGTTTGGCTCAGCTCCAGCATATCTGTATATGTTGGTACATATTTTTTTTTAATATGGTCATACTTTTACCCTTTAAAATTGCAAAAATGTCACCTCTAACTACTTGTCATTGATGGTAAGTAACACTCATTTCAGAAGCAAAACTTTTCCCTCAACACTATTTGCCTTCTGTACTTTCTATAGAATGAAAGTTAAAGTATAACCCAAGTAATAACCCTGCAATTACTACAGAAAAAAATACCAGCTATGCTAAAATGAAACTGGGTATTTTTCAGTTGGTATTATTATAGAATATATTGTAGAATATAAAAATAATAATTTTCACTCATCCAACTCCTTTCATTCTATGTTTCAAATCCCTGAGTGTAAGTGGTCTCATTAAGTTTACCAAACCAATTTAACTCTAACATGTTCTTGAACCTTTTCTCCAAATCCAAAGAGGTTTTCCTGTCACAAATGCTGAATGTTATCATCTGAAATTGTGTGTATTCTGTAGATATGTTTGACCTTCTGCAGATAAGACTCGTTTACTTAATCATTTAGGTATGAACTATAATAGACAAAACTACCAAAAAGAAAAGAAAAATGCTACTATGTATATATACTCAGATCTATACGCACATTCACAAACACATACGCATGATAACTGAGTTTATATAGATTGGATTAATATGAGAATAGTTAAAAGAATAAGGATAAATGTTCCATGTAGATCTATGGAAATAAAGTCTGTTGGTTTCTAAAACTCCATTTATTTAGTGAGGAAATGCTACTCAAGTATTTATTGAGTTCCCATAATACTCTAGGGATTAGAGAGCATACAAAGACAAGTATTTATAGGAAATAAACAGATGCCCAACTAATTCTACCATAGAGTAGTACTCAGTAAGGTCCATGAAGACAGGGGCAGTGTATGTATTGTTTGGCTCTGTATTCCTTAGTGTCTAATATTGTGAACTGATACAAGTGATGCCAATATGTGTTTTAAAAATATATAATGAAAGAAAAATGCCTTTAAGTTCCCTAAAAAGTTCAAAGGAAGAAGCAATTATTTTTATCTGGCACGACCCAGGTAGCGTTTCTAAAGGACAAAGTAATCTGAGGGATAGGGTAATGGTTAACGGCAAGAATAGCACGCTAGGCAGAGGCTGATATGTAAACACGAAGATAAAGAGGCAGGAAAGAGCGAGACAGTCATTAGGAAGAAGCAGATCATTCAGTTTGGCAGTCCAGCACAAGTTTTCCATAAGGAAGCTTTAGATCAAGTTGAGAAGTTAGACTGAGGTCAGACTGCTAAAATCCAGAAACGCCAAGTTAAGGAATCCAGATGTTATTCTTGAAAGAAGCTCTGAATATTTGAATTTAGATTTTTATACACCAGCTTTGCTACTTGCCGAGTAGTCCTTATTCTTGATCCTGATTCTAAAGCTGTCAGGGGGAGTCTTCAGAAGTAGATCCTAATTATAGTATCAGCTGCTCTCCGAGAAAGTGCTCCGGGAGGAAGCTTGCAAAGCCCAGAAGCCCCACAGGAGAAGATGAAGACTAAGGAATTGGGAGAGACATTCCTAAAAATAATTGATGTTGGACAGTTTTATCAGTTCTGAGTCTGCTATTAGACACCTGTAATATTTAATGTGGTACTTTGAACACAGATTACTTTAGCACTAGTCTGCAAAGACCTAACTTAATACACAAATCTTAAAAGAGGAAAAAGACTCCAAGCCTCTTCAGAGAGCGCTAATGCACCATGAAATATAGCCTCTAATGAGAGACTGATTCTTAAAGCCAAGTGGTGTAGAGTAGGGTTCCTGCATTCACAAAGTTGTTCCATTCACTCCCTACAAGCTCAAATGACCATGAACTGTAGAGAAATAAAGGTATATAACATGTGCCTTTAGTAACTTATAACCAAGGTGAAAAAAAAATTGCTCTTAAGTGCTAGAATATTTGTACTATTTAATTTCAGTTTCCTAATTACCTCATGAATTTAATATTACTATTTCCATTTTACAGTTGATACAATTAAGATGAACATGTTTTAATATTTTGCCTAAGCTAAACAAATAGAAGAGCTTGGATCCAAACCCAAATTTCTGTAACTCCAGAGTCCACACTCTTTCTCTTGTACCATATAGCCTTAGGGCCTAGTTCAGTAGATGGGAAACACTATTAGCTAAAAGCAGGATCCTCAGTGTATGATTGATCTTGGTTCCACTTTTGTTGGCTCTGTGACACTGTACCTATTGCTATCGTTTTGTGTCTCATTTGTCTCAATTATAAAATGGGGGAATTAGCATTAAAATAGCATTCCCTACCTTACAGGATTGTTGTGAGATTTAAATAAAAGAATGAAGTGCTTAGGGGAATGGCAGGCACATAGAAAATGCTCATTTAAATTAGCTATTATTTGTCACAGAAACTTCATGACCACAGCAGTGATTTAGACAATTCAATCCACACCTTCTTGAGCTGAATCAACATCCAAAGTTTTCTTTCAACTAAAAAAAATTATCTTAAAAATATCGTGCAGTAGTTTATTTGAACACAAGGAATATACAGACTATAGTAACGTGATAGCAAAAGTCACAAGAGCTGCAATGCTTTCTGGAAAGACAACTCTAGTTTTGGTAACTTTTCCTGACACTGATACAGTTGACTGATTAGCACTTTTATTATCTGTTTCTTTCTTGCTCGTACAAACATCGAGATGAGACAGTGCATTTCCTCAGTTTACAAACTTACCCAAGAATATGGGAGATCCATATCTGTACAAGAAGACTTAAGTCGTGGGTGGTGTGTGCAGCGCGAACAGTCATTCCAGGGTCCAACTTGGGCAATTTGAAAATCAACACATGTCCAGAGAGGGGTTTCTGGAAAAAGCTTCCAGCTGTTCCACATCTGAACTTCACCTTCATTGTGTGATAACATTTCTGCCATATTGCCTCCAGTGGAAATGCTGGATCTAACCAGTGATGCAGAAATAGAATCCAATCTCCTCTCCATTTCTTCCTTTCCCCTTGTGCTAACATTACTAATTTTCTTTTCTTGGGATTTGGTTAATTTCATACAGGAAATTAAAGTTTCATCTTCATCTTCTGAATTACAAAGAAAAATCAGTTAAGAATATAATATGGATTTTATACTTCCTTTGATATAGTAGAAATGAATGAACATCACAGGACAAACCAGGAATTCATTTACCTTCACAAAATAATTTAAATTGCAATTCTTTAAAGAGTAATCCTTTGTATAGTAAATGATTTATTTTGTAAGAACAGATTGACCTAGAAGATTTTGAAGCTGTATGTAACGATTATATATAGTCTGGCTACACTGACTGAAAGCCACATGCAAATAGTATACTAAAAGATATTTTAGAAAAATTACAAACTAAAAAATTCCCCATATCATAGAAACATGGTATGGTCTGCTTGCATTCTTTTTTTAATGTTTATTTATTTATTTTGAGAGAGAGCGAGGGGAGGGTCAGAGACAGAGAAGGATAGAGAGAATCCCAAGCAGACTCTGTGCTGTCAGTGTGGAGTCCAACATGGGGCTTGATCGCACAAACCATGAGATCATGACCTGAGCCAAAATCAGGGATTGGATGCTTAACCAACTGAGCCACCCAGGTGTCCTGGTGTGCTTGTATTCTTAAGTTTTTTTTTTGTTTTTTTTTTTGATTTTTGGAAATAATGTGTATAGAGAGCATAATAAGAAAGTAAATGAATTATTCCCTGTACGTAAATAAAAAATGAAATCTCAGTGGACATGGGCTGAAATACCACTGGTATTCTAATTTTTTTCTGATATCAGTCTATAAATAGATTTATGCATAAAGTGTTTCTCATAGTGAAATACTTTGGAAAAGGAAGAACAAGACTGAGAGAACAACAAAAAGAAAGTATATCTTTAATACTATGGAGTTGATTAGTGAGACCTATATTTTTACATGTGGTGAAGGGTCTGATGAAATTTCTAGGAATATATAAAACAATTACAGAAAATAGAAATACATGTGACCCATGTATGGAAATTATACCATGTCACAGAATCTCTTTCAGTGCAAATGTTTCATTGATGTAAACCAAAGATTATGATTAATAGCATGTAATTGTGAATAAATAAATGAACTTCAAAGTTGCATGTCATGACATGCCATTTTGCTGCACTCACATAAAAATTGAAAAATACTGTTTCCCGTGGCCAAAGAATGGGAATAATGAACAATTAGGACCCTTATTATCTCGTTCTCCCACGCTATCCCCGAGTCTTGTCTTGAAGGGAAGGAGATATGGTATATAAAGCAAAATTCAGGAATAGGGTAAGGATATCTGTTTCACAAATAAATTTCTAATTTAAAAACCCTGAAGATTTAATGGTTATTTTAAGACCTTATCAAAATGGTCTTCATTTTATATATGCTACTCAAATTCTTTCTCAAAGAATTTTTGGCAGCTTTTTGACTTCTTACTTACCAAGGTTTATTAATGTGGGTTTTATCTCATTCAGACTCGGCACCCTGGTTTTCTTGGTCCAAACCAGTTTCTGTAGTCTCTTTAACGTCCCCATTGATTCCGCTGGGTCACCGCCTGATCCTACAGCCTAGCACAAACACAGCTCAAGGTAGGGACAAATTATTCTTCACAAAAGGTTAAATTTAAAATGTGTCGAGATCATAAATATGAGAAAATTAATAATGTGACCTCAAAACCTGTAGCCTGAGACAATTTTAAGCAATAACTTGAAAGCAGACAATTTTTTGGTTTCAAACTTGTAAAATATATTACAACCAGCCAGTCATACTAAAGTAGGGCATTTTTTTAACCTTCTTTTTTAACTTCAAAATGCAACAAAATGGATTGAATCTGGTGCCATCTATGTGCTTGTGCTCAGTGTGAAATAGTGGAAAGACGCAAGGTCTTTGCAGGGTAACAAAGAAGGAATAAGAGGTTTAAAGTTGCTACTTGCAAGTTGTTGGAACAGACTGATGGTATGCACAAAAAAACAAAAACAGAATTTAAATTTTCTTCATTTTTCTTCATTTTTTTCTTTTGGAAATTTCTGGTAAACCAGCATTTTATTTCAAGCATGAAATGTTTTCAAATAATATACTTTTCTTTGAATATTGCTTCTTGCTTTTTAGATACACACTGAGGAAGAAAAAGACAGCCATATTGTTCTATACTGTAGTATATAAGTGTCACTGGTTTATTATAGCAAAAAATATGGATAAAATAATTAGTAACGCTTATGACTCAAAATTTCTTCGGGAGGTACAGAAACGCTTCCCACGAGTTTAATGTTGGCAAATTTGTATTTATACTGCTTTTACTTATTATATTTAGGATAACCTACTCTTAACAATTTCACAATATTTTGGAAGCTGATATTTTATATGTTAAATTTAATACTAATTGGTAAAATAGTTGTATTCTGTGATGTTAATTAGATATGAAGTATTACATAGAGGAATACTTCTTTCTCATCCAGAAATCGCTGGACTCAGAAATATTTCTCTCTGCTTTTGCCTATCTTTTCCATTGAACGGCTGATAAATGACATCTAAACAGATACTGCAGTTCGCAAAAGGTGAATGACTTTGCTTCCTCATTAATGTTTGAATGAAAAATATTTATAATAGTGCTTTCCCATCCTCTGAGAGAGACTATAAGCCCAAAGAAATGTTTGCAAGAAAAGGCTCTCTGGCATCCAAACATTTCCAGTCATTAGATTCAGCACTTGTTCTTGGTCTTTAAGAATGACTTTGAGCAGCCAATATAAACTTGATGCTCTGTCTCTGCATAATGGCACCTAAGTAGGAAATGTGACGTTTTGTCAGAGCAAGCCATACCTGTTTGCGTTAAATAAATGGGGAAATATTGAAATCATTTTAATCTTTCAGAGAGACCTGGGATGAGATTTTCTTGATATGCAGAATCTTCCCTCTCTTCCAAAGGTCATGCTCAGCTCAACACAATTTCTATTGCTGTTTACTTTTGTATCATATTCTCCTGTGTTCCTCCAGTATTTTCTGAGTTACTCAGTTTTACAGGCCCTGTAACTCAAGAAGAGTCATTTTCTAATCTTTAGGCTCTTCCAGAAATAATAAGCTGACATTGCACAACCACTGAACACAATTTTCTTTGTTGTACTTCTTTTGTTATAGCAACCTCTTCCTATTCCAGCCAATGCTTAATTGCTCCACTGAAACACTGGCATCAAAAATGGCCTTTTCCCTCCCCCTTCTTTGTGAAAATGACTTTCACTTGATATGGGGAAAGGTGTTACATACCAGGGTAACTGAATTCCATATTAATGATTTGCCCCTAGGAGGAAGAGAAGCATTTGTATAGTGTCTAAATTCATATAAGTGAGATCTCATGGCCCAGAGGTGTTAAAACAAACTGACCTCTCATTATTTTGTTCAAACTGTGTTATAGCCTTTTTAAAGCAGAGTCTTGTTAACTTTCGTATCTTTAATCACTCATGGAGCTTTGAGTTAATAGAGATCAGTCTATTGCATTTTATTCATTTTTCAATTACATATGTCTAGTATAGTACATGGCCTGATAAATGTTTGCTAAATGTAAATACACTTTTGAGTTCATACATATGTTTTATCTACCAAATGGATTATCCACAGTAAATTTTTTACACTAGACTGGCTACTTTCTAATAGCAAACTACTTCCAAAAAGCTTTCTCTTGCTATTAGGTAGTACATACCTGAGTGATGAAACTTAGAATAAAAATTATGATAAGAGATATAGAATCATTAAGATTATCTATTAAAAAGAAATCCTTTAGAATATTTTCAAAATTGTTATTCACTGTAGTCTCCTAATCTATTACTTATAAATTTGTGCTAAATTTGATTAAAATTACAATAATGTGCCTTTTATTCTATTTTTTAAAGGTTTATTTATTTTTGAGACAGAGAGAGACAGAGTGTGAGCAGGGGAGGGGCAGAAAGAGAGGGAGACACAGAATCTGAAGCAGGCTCCAGGCTCTGAGCTGTCAGCACAGAGCCCAATGCGGGGCTTGAACTCATGAACCATGAGATCGTGACCTGAGCCAAAGTTGAATGCTTAACTGACTGAGCCACCCAGGCACCCCATAATGTGCCTTTTAATTCCTAGATGTTTTCTAAGAAGACTGACTTTTAAATTGAACTTACCATTCAACCAATCAGCGAAAGTTTATTGAGCATCTACGATATGCCAACATTATCATGCATTCTGGGGATGTGGCATTGAGTACGTGAAATGAGACCCCTGCTTTCATACAGTCTACATTCTAGAGAGAAATGACATACCATAAACAAATAAACAAGTACATAAACAAGAAAATGTGCCATAGGCTATGCTAAGAACAGCATGACTGAGTGTAGATGGGAGGACAGTTACTAATTTACATTGGTTGATGGAGGATGTTCACTAAAACTGAGGCCTGAACCTCAGTTCAGATGTGAAGATTTGGAGACAGTTTTGAGCTCCACGGACAGTCAGGGAGGACATTTCCAGGACTATGATTTAAATAACAGAGAAGGGTCAGCTAGGCAAAGAGCAGAGGGAAGAGAATTCCTGTGAGGATAAGACATGTGCAGGGGTTCTACAGCTGAAATTCCGGGAAGAATTCTTAGCATTTGCCCCAAGGAAGAGAAAGGAGGGAAGAGGGTCATAAGATGAGCGAGAGACTTAATGAGGGGCTCTCAGGGAGGCCTTTGTAGAACAGTTGAAGAGCATGTATTTTGTTCTAATCAGGCAAGTGACACATTTGGTTTACATTTTTATTCGTCTTGCCTCTTTACTGATCCTTCTTTGTGATCATCTTACTTTTTAAAGGACTTTTCCCAAAAGCATTCCAATATGCTCTGATCTGATCCATCGTTAATTTACCATATTTTATTTACCACCCTTTCTGCCCCCTTTCCCATGCATACTTCTCAGAAAAGTCAACTATGTTTACTTCCCCTAATTCCTTTCATTTCTCATCCCTTCA